TACGAGACTACTCTCATTTCCGCGAACATAAATGTCCATTTCTCTTAATAAATCTTACTAAAACGGTGATTTTCCTAACGAAAATGTTTTGTAGAATTTAATGAAGTCAGTTAATCACAATAGTGTTTTCAAATATATGCTAAAGTGCCGAGCCACATTTCATCATGAACGTTGCATGGTGTTTGGCGGCTACTGTATGTTTCTACTACGACGACAGTTATCGCTAGGCTGGCCTCGGCGATATCTAGGCGGATACTTGCTATATGCTATTCTTTTTCGCCGTGTACGAATGCTGCCAGTCCTATGCTCAGTTATATTTGCCAAAAGGTTGTTATGCTCAACCTAGTCTACTTTTCCCCGATGAAGACTCAGTACCGGTTGTCTAGAACAATTTTACAAGGTCATATTTTTTTCTGCTTACTCCACCTAGTCCTGGGCTTTCTATGAGAGATACGGATCAGGTGGTTGCCGCAGGTTGTTGACCATTAAACGTATTGACATGTCATGGCAGATTCGGTGGTAACATAAAGGAATAGCAAGTATTCGAGAAACTCACATTTGAACGATGACGTCTAACGTCTTGTCATTTCTCAGTCACTGGCACACGCAGGTTTTTTAAATGTCCTAGAGCCTTAACTTTGACTGGATGTCCATTTGACCTCATATGTATTTTTTGTTTTTGATAAATAAACTCATCTGCTGATTTTCTTCACATGAAACATTCTACCTCGGGGGTTGCCGTGACTTAAGGCTAATAGGAAAGTTTCGTAAACGTATGCTCAGTTTAAGATTGTAGGTGGTGATCTCAGCTGTCCGTCGCTAAAGGCTGGCGTGTCCATGCGGCATTTGACCATCGCTTTCGAGTATGCCCATACTGCGCACCACTACCAGGTGGTACAGACACGGTGATTGTTGACATTCGCGTCATCTGCCCTACTCTCTTCTTTCTAACCTACCACACTCAAAAGAAAATGAAGAAGACCGGAGGAGAGCTCCTATGCGCGCCATCCCGCTCCCTCTGAATGTTCAGCCTTCGTTACGGGACCGCGAGCCACATACTGCCTGTCGTGTCCACAGAGTGGACACCGTAATATCAGTTAAAGACGCTTATTAGCCTTCATCTAGCATATACACTGAAGCAATAATAACTTACTTATGTAATGCAGCATGTCCAAGAAAGCTTGCGCAGTTTATAGATTCTAATTATAGCATTATTTCTGGAAAGTCAAACTTAAAAGTTCCCGGGTGTTAAGCAGAGAACCGGCTGAGATACAGTTCGGTATTAAACAGCAGGAACACGTTCTGCTGGCTGCGTTGCCCACAGAAACCCCGTTTATGTCCCGATTGACAACTGTTATCCTATAGATCGCAAAGTATAGCCTTACTCTTGGCTTAGTGTACGTTTTGAAAGAAGGTTTTTGACTCATTTTTTAATCAGATGGCTTTGTGTGTCAGAAAATGTTTAATGTCTCAACATTCGAGAATTTCGGACGACGCAACCTTTCCTACTGTTCGCAGCTGCCCTGGAGTTTACTGACACTGGAATGGCCAGTTCGTCGGCAAAGAGCCATCGCCGGCGCTAAAATGACGTGATCCCGGTGGTGAGGGTTTATGGAGATATCTATTTTCACCTGCGTACCATATGAGCCACGATCGGTAATAGGCATCCTTATTGCATGATTGAATCGGGCATCACCTATCCTGACGGACGTTTACTTGTATATCTGGAGCTTCAATCGAATCAAAGGCGTACTGGGTTACTACTATTTTAAAACAGGCGTACTATCTTAGCCCATGCGGTGACTCATTGATTTTCATCTTGCTAAAGTAAGTAACTAAAGAACCACAAATAAATAGCAGCCCTGTTTGATTCCGTTTAGTTTTATTAAGGGAAAGTTGGCAAACACGTATAAGCACCCTATTGGTAACCAATTAGACAGGAAATGTATAGAAGCGAAAGAAAATGTCTAAGTCTGCGGACATTCCTTCCTTAAGGGTGTAAGCGGAGGACTTCGAGAGTTATGATGTGCTCATCCTGCTTAGGGCCCTCTCTGTTAACTGCTTATTTGTCTTTAGCCACTGTTAGCTTAAGATCGTCAGAGGGGGTTGCTAAAACAAGGAAAGCTGCTTAGGCATCCGTGATGGTAATACTCTGTGCTCGGCTTATGCAGCTATTTTTCAGAGATGTCTGTGGGGTGTTTAACCACACCGAGGTTTCCTCAAATCGGATTTCTGTTAAATTTTGCATTTACAATCGCTAGTCGAGCGGGTCCGATTTCTTCCCTTTCGAATCTAGGAGACCTTTGGCGTGTGCTATTCTGCACTGTGTTTTACTTAGTCTTTGACTCTTCGTGAAGCACTACCTGACTTCTTTTTATACATGAATTACACATTGCTTGCCTGGTTTCCGTAGATTTATTATGAATAATACCTCTCATTATAAACCCACTTTACTCAGGCGTAGAAACTATCAATGTGTCCTCTTGAAGAAGAGGCGCGTAGATAAACCCCTTTATGTGTTTGTCCTTTTAATCTAACTGATTCGGCATGGCCGCTACCATTTGCCATCCTTGAGTTGTCGAAATACTTCGGTTGCGATATAGTTAATATATTTACTATATAGCTATATATGGAATGTATCGGACAAAGTGAAGGGAGATCGGAATGGCCATTTTTGGCTTGGTAGCCGTCATCAGCCAGTCATCCCCTGTCGCAAGGGTTGGAAGCCCCGAGATTCGAACACGATGCCTTTGGTCATTGAGTTTATAATTCAACCATTGCACCACGGGCTCGTAGTTTTGTCGGTTGAGATCGGAAATATTATGAAAATATGGACTTCGCCGATCCATTCCATCCTTTCCTCATAGTCACTATGTTACTGCCTACGCTTGCTATAATTCTGAGCTCCCGGACTAGGCGGAACTTTATTGTTCCTCTGTTATTACGCCGAAGCGCATACATGCATCATATTCCTAATTTCAACCGACAAAGTAACGAGCCCATGCTGCAATGGGAGAGTGGTAAACTCAATGACCAAAGGTCCCAGGTTCGAATCTCGGGGGTTCCAACCCTTGAGATTAGGTTTGACTGGCTGATAACGGCTAGCAATGGCCCTTTCGGTATCCCTTTTCTATGTCGGATCCATTTCATCATATACATTTAAAGACTTGAAATAACATTTTCTGAAATAAGAATATCTTTAACATTGCAAAGTAGGCATGCACCACTCGGCTCGGGGGACAAACTCGTATCGATTGTGCTTAACGACTTATTTTCAAGCCATGTCTGCAGATGCAAGCCTCCGGTGTAGCAAACATTGAATTGGGCGTGTCTAGGTGATGCCAGTATATAAATCAAAACTGGCCATTTTATTCTCCCTTGTTTTTCGGTTTAAGGTTGTTCGGACCTATAATAAGGGCAGTTATGTGTCAGCTTGCGGAGTTCGTGGGATTGGGATTAATGAGTCTTACACCGCCATGTGTGTGTGCTTTCTATAATCTCGTATATTTAAAGATGACAATAAGGACATGTTATCATAATGAGGATCTGCTAGGTGGTCGGGCTGGATTTAATATGTCATATAACACTTTAAAAAAAGGTACATGAACGTACGGTTTATTTCAGTAAGTTATCGTATGCTCCCATGCTACCATCTTCTTCGTCGATTAAAGTTCTCATTATGCTTTTGTACTCTCATACTGAATAAGTGTTTTTCGAAGGTGATGCTATATGGTTTAACCCCATCGTAGTTTACGTCGGTTGCACGATTGTACGTCCTCGTTTATTAAAATATTCATATTTTATGGAAATTAGTAATGACTGCCTGATCAAAGGAGAACACGTTATGTGGCTTTATCTTTCGAATACCAGATGAAAGTCATTTAGCACCCTTAGAAGCTTTCGAGTGTCCACAGCACGTTTAGCGGTTAAATTCGAAGGTAAAAATGCCTTGCAGGGCCGCGTAAATAAATATTTCCCCCGCCCAACTGTCTAACGTAATTTGTGGTCAATCATTTTATGAGTGCAAATGAATATTTAATTATGTTGGTACTGATCAAAAAATATTAAATTAAAGAAAGTTATATTTGTTTCAATGTACTAAATTGAACCAAATCCATCAACATAAACTCCCGTTGCGCAGGAAACTGATGCCAATTGAGGGATATCCAACCCTATATTAACGGACTGAAACGAAAAGAAAGGAAATTCGACCCTACATTGGCAAAAAGGACCTTTAAAGACAGGCCTGCCAATTCGTAGTATGCTCGTGTCGGTGGTTGTTAAAATGCACACTGGCTTTTATATGCTTCTCGATTAACCGATGACTGTATGCAATTGCCAAAAATGACTGATTATTTTAAACCAACATAAAATCTCCAGAGACTTCCAATAATAACATAACAATATGATAGACTATCAACCCCATGGTCCACGGATATTCCACCTACGTGCATTTAATCGATAGATTTAATCAATAAGGCGTTTTTTTGTTCTGCTTACTTAGACGGCACACTGATTTTGTGTCAAGGTGCAAAGTTAGAGTCTACCACAAATGTATCCTTTAACTGAATTATTTGTCAGGTATGCCACGGATTGTCCCCATAGTTATTTTAAAAGCGACACAAAATGAAATTGTCTGAATTAGTTTGTTTTCTCTTTCTTCCACGCATAGGACAGGGACGAAACTTCCTCCACAATCGAAGTGACTTATGGTAAAGGAGATGAAGCCGCTAGAGGAACATGGGGAGGGAAGATTGAATTCATACTCACTTGTGTCAGTTTCGCAGTCGGCCTGGGCAACGTCTGGCGTTTTCCCTACCTCTGTTTCAAAAATGGCGGAGGTAAATCGTGTATTTTTTATTTTTGTCCGGCTTCCTTTTAATTTTCAGCGCTTTGGAATTATTCGATCGTTCATCTGAAACATATATCAGACAAATACAATGTTTTGCTTGTACAGTAGTCGCCAAAGACCATGCAATTTTCATAACTTTGTATAAAT